TCTGTGGAATCTTTAAAGGCACTTGTTCGTGAATTTCCACGTTGTTCAACATCGATGCAGAAAATACATTTAAATTTGGACCGACGATTGATGACGAAGGGTATCCGTGTGTTGGGACTGGAGAAGATGACAATTCTTTGATCCTAGGTGTGACGACAATAAGTTCTACGGAAAAGATGAAACACTACAACAAGAAAATATTTTCAGTTTGTTTCATATCGATGTTACATTCAAACTGAGCGAGATTGGCAATCCGGTAATTACGTGTGGGTTCGGCGACCGCTCTCAAAAGTATCATTTAGCGGCCATGTTCATCGCTTACTCACAATGTGTATACCGCTGGTTTATCCAGTCTCCTTCAAGTCTACGAGAAATTGTTTTCCCTGCGATCCAACATTGACGCTGTGCTAGGTGATGCCGAAAACGCTCAAGAAACGTTGCATTTTGAAATTTTGGGATACTTTGTAATGCGTTGTACTGAGCGTTCTCGCCATGCTATTTCACGTGTTGTACAATGTGAGGAAACGAACACGGCAGCTTGACGACTATGCTGGTGCAATGGTATACAAAGGCATAATTGCCATGCACTATGCAGGGAATTTTCTGGAATACTACCACAATTCTTGCACAATGGAGAAATGTTTGGGTTTTGCGCTCTTTTGCGGATTACTTTGAAAAACAGTGGATAAATAGCCAATATTGGCAATGGCAATCGTTTCATACATCGACTGGATATGCGGCAACAAACCTTTCGTGTGAAACAATTAACGCAAATGTTAAAAGGCATGGCATGCGTAAAATGTTTGACACAACTCGATTGATGAGAAAGATTATTGTGATTGTAGAAGATGTCATCGCTGACAAACTTCGACTTATGGCTTCACGTGGTGACCCTCCAACAGCGCTTGTAAATACTGCAAAGTCCCTTGTGCATGTGCAACAAAACAACGATCGAGATATTGTTCGAGTTGTTCAGCGCAAGACATTTAGTGACCAAGCATGCCGTCTAAAAGATGGCGCTAACCTGGCATTTACGCGCCTAATTGCTTCTAAAATAACAGGCAAACTGCATGAACCTCTTGGTAGACAACAACGCAGAATGCATCCGCATTACACAGTAATGCTATTAAATGGTCTCTGTATGCGGCGTCTAGGCATTCCTGAAACCGGTTGGCTCGTGAATACGAAAACGGGGCTGTGTGAATGTCGCTACTACTTGAAATAGGATCTGGTTGGCAGATTATAGGGTCAAAGATGATATTAGGTACAAGCCCATACACAGGTGTGACAGGTAGTATTCGCCTTAAGAATCGCCGGGTACGGAAATCACCAAAATCTCAAACCGATGAAGACGGGAATAGCTGTCAACAACCATGGAACCAAGACTAGCAACAAAGTTACATCACCACCGATGTGCGATATCGACGGCGGAGGAGCGAGGCCTATCGCCCTGAAGTGTTGTAAGATGCGGATTCAGTTCAGGGAGTAGCTGGCATACTTGATCAAGGGTCTATTGTCTGCCAAAATGATCAACTACTCTAGATCACCACGGGCTTCCCCGATCGTGGTGATCATCAAGAAGAATAGAGTGGATATCAGGTTGTGTATCGATTATCGGCTGGTTAACAGCTTAACTCAGCTGATGGTCTACCCAATATCCTTGATGAACGACCTACTTGAAGATCTGGAGTCGGCACTTTGGTACTGTTCTTTGGATATGGCGAGTGGATTTTGGGTAGTGAAACTGACGGATCGTGCTCGATTGACCTCGGCATTTGTCACTCCCTTTGAGTTATTTGACTGGAATCGGATGTCTTTCGGCTTGAAGAATGCGCCCCAGATCTATCAACGTATGATCGACAACGCGCTATATGGATTCACCCGGATCTCGAAGCCTGAAGATCACGGAGGAACTTTGGATGTGTTTTAGGACGAGGAACCGGTGGATCCAGGGAAGCCGTCGATGCTTGGGCGTAGATCATATGTCGACGACATCCTGATCCCAGCCAATAACTGGGATCAACTATGTGACCGAGTCGAAGGTTTACTCGAAGCCTGTGATAAGTGGAACCTGTCGGTCAGTGTGGTCAAGAGTTTCTGGGGAATGTCTAAGGTGGAATATCTGGGTCATAAGGTCTCCCATAATGAATTGGAGACGAACCCGAAAGATCTATCGGCGTTGACGGATCTAGCATTCCCGGGATCACTTCGAGCTATGCAGACATTTTTGGGGAGTCTGAATTATTACAGCCGATTTATTGAAGACTATCCGATTTATGCGTCAGTACTGTATGAATTTTGAGTAATTGGCTTCGCTGCTATGATGAAAGACACCCCCAAGCGCAGGTCCAACGGATATTAGAGGTGGAGAGCGTGGATCAAGGATCACAAGAAGATCAAGCGATCGACCACCGAAAGACCTTGGATCTGGAGGCGCAAGATCTTACCAAAGTGGATCCGCGTTGTATCCACGCTTACCGGTCCTTCAGGATGCATAAGGCTAAGCTTGCTACTACTCCGACCTTACATCACTTTGATCGAGATCGGAGAGCAACGGTCGTGGTGTACGCTCGTGATTGGGCTATCTCGGGATCACTGATGCAGGAATACGACAAGATCTACTATCCCGTGATGTTCGCGAGCCGTACTCTGAAATCGAATGAGCTGAATTACGGAATGGCGGAGAAGGAGGTACTAGTCCTCCTAAGGATCCTGGAACTTAACTACAACGCACTGGTCGGACGTCCGATCCATGTGTTGACCCAACACTCTACGTTGGCGTGGCCCTTCAGATCCACAGTCCTACAAGGACGTTTTGGACAGTGGGCTGCTCTATTGTCGCCCTGGACGATTGAGACCACCAAGTGTGTCATAGGAGAGGACGAGATCTTAGGGTCATTGGCGGCCCGTATTACCCCTAGATCCGAAATGGATAAAGCATTAATCTCGATTGCCCCCAAAATGGAGCCAAGACGCAAGATCCAAGCTCCGATCCCCACTATTAGACGCGATGAGAGGCTATACGTCGTTAGTTTCGATGGATCTGCTCGTGTCAAGAGAGGTGAAGGCGGCTATAGCGCGAACTTGTAGAAGCTGCCCGAATGGAGGGTGCTGAAAGCTAGATCTGGGTATGCCGAACGCTTGATGGTGAACGAGGCGGAATACCATGGGTTGTTGCTATGTTTGGATCTGTTGCAAGATCTGGATCCGCGACGTCTGATGATCTGCGGAGACTCGAACCTGGTGATCCGACAAGTACGAGGTGAGATCGATGGTAAGGCGCCGGGTCTGACATTGTTACGTCAGCGAGCCTTGGATTGACTACGAATGTGGCCAGATCATGAACTATTGCACGTCAAACGAGATTGGAATGTGAGCGCTGACAGCCTAGCAAGTGCTGCTCTACAACGACAATGTGGGATCGAGATAGAGTCTGA